TTATTTTTTTTATTTTTTATTTAATAAATACTGAAAAAATAAATACGTTGACAGAAATAAAGCTCTGAGGAGAATTACGTATTCAAATTTGTTAAAACTGATGCAACATACAAAATAATTGCGAAGAAAAATATTCCCTTATTATATATATGTATAAATATGTGTAGTTTTTATTTATATTCCCTTAATATTACATATTTTATTTGCGTGTTTTATTAGTCTGTCTCCTATCACCCTTCCGATTTTTTTTTTTTTTTTTTTTTTTTTTTTTTTTAGGATCAATTTTAAATTCTTCAAAAATTATTGATCTATTAGCAGATAACTTGACTTAATTTGTTTAAATTGGCAAAATTTCTTATTAAATATTTGAGAAATTCAAACTGATGCAGAAATTATATAGTTTTTTAAGATAAGTACGTATTAAGTAGATAAGTTAATAAACGATTTTAGTTTTTCATTTCAATTGAATATTAGAAATTCAAAGGGATCTCAACTTTTTTTTTTTTTTTTTTTTTTTTTTTTTTAAATTGCAATTTTACTTAATTTGCATTCTAAATGAATTAATCGTTGTTATTTAGCGACTTGTACTAGAGTATTAGGTATTAATAGGTCTTATGTGTATATAACTACTAGATTGGCTTCTAGAGCAGACTATACTACCTCATATAAGGGATTATCTTTATATTGAGATGAGCTAGACTGATGATTTATTTCTCTTCGATCTCTGGATTCTTCTAGTCTTCTAGCGAGAATATATATGAAGACTTTAAATGACATTTCTGGTTTGTGGGGAAAGAGAGATGGATTTAAAGCAAAGTATAATATTTGTATTTCATTTTAGATTTGAATGTGTATATGTGTATTATATTTAGAGCTTATCCAACTTATCATCATTACTGAACCTATTCTAAACTTGAGTTCCACAAGGCCTAGCCAAACAGATACTTGATGTTCATATATGTACATAAGCTACGCTTAGAAGTTTACCTATCCCATCCAGCTCCTCGGCGCATCTTCTACTCGTTTAGTTTAGATTTTCATGCACTTCATCTCATCTCTTGCTCTCTGCTTTGCAGGCTTCGCTCATCACCTGGTTGGGATGCACAGTCATTTGCATGCGCCCGATTGGCGAGCTCACATGGCGCTGGGCGGACGTCCGGGCTTTCCGGCTGGCCCCTTCTTCGCGCACCACCATGGCGCCAGCTTTCCGGGCGGCGCGACCGGCGGCCTGCGCGGTCTAAGCGGTGAGTAGTCAATGCCATTCAGACTGTTCCCAGTTTAATAAGCGATCTCTCTCCGACTTCGGCTCGGCAGACAATCAGCAGCAGATGGCGACAGTGGGCGCGGCGCACAGCACCACCAGCCCGGAGGGCTCTCCGACGACCACGACGAGCGCAACGCTGAGCGCCTTCGTGCAGCCGCCGGCGTGTAATGCCAGCGCTGGGGGATCGCCGCCGCTGATGCTCAGCAGCTTGCAGCATCACGACAATAACAACAACAACAGCAGCAGCAACATCGACGCGGGCTTCGAGAGCGACAGCATCTCGGTGACGGGCTCGCCGCGCAAGAGCATTAGCTCGCTGACGCACGACGAGGAGGAGCCGGATCCGGAGGCGGGACGCAGCCGCAGTCCGACGCTGCTCAGCGCCGATGCCAGCAGCGTGGCGACGCTTGTGGAGCCAGCACCAGGAGCTGGCAGCGGCGCTCTCGACGGCACCGGCACTAGTGGCGGCGGTGGAGGTGGCGGCGCCTTCACTGCCCTCATCCAGCGCAGCAAGAATCCGAGCGAACTGTTTGGCGGCTTCGCAGCGGCGGGCGGCGGCCACTTTGCGCCCACGGCGCACAGCTTCAATCCGGCGCTGGCCGCCCAGCTCTTCCTGCAGAGCCCGCTGCTGCCGCAGTCGAGCCAGTGGCTCTACACCCAGCTCTATGGCAGCTACAGCGAGCTGCCTTGGCTACGTAGCGCGGCGGCAGCAGCCGCTGCCAGCTCCACAGCTGCTCCACAGCCGCAGCCGCAGCCGCTGCCACAGCAGCAKGAGCCATCGATGCTAGCAGCGGCGGCGGCTGGCGCAGATGCCGACGGCGTGAATCTGATCAAGCGCTGCGTCACGCTGATCACGCACAATCCGCCGGATGCGGAGAATGCCAATCCGAATGCCTCGCCGCCAGTGAGCTCCTCGCGCCGTTCGCCCTCGCCCGTGGAGACCATCGATCTGGACGATGTCAGCACCACGTCGCGATCGGCCAGCGGCTCCAGCGGCGCCGGCGGACCAATACGGACGCGCACGCCCAAGCCGACAGCGGACGTCTGGCGTCCGTACTAGCGACTGGCGGCCGCCTTGCTGGGCACCTGCCTGGCGGGACAAGGACAGAGGGAACGGGCGCTGCCGTAGCGGTAGCTGGCGCAGCGGTCATTGGATTGTGAATTTAGGTCATATCGCAGCGTGCGAGGGTTGCGCCACAAGTATTAGCAGACGAGCAGTTCATATCACAGGCACAGCATATTAAGCAGTTCTAAAAGTCTAAAGGTTCAAGTTGTCAACTTCGAGCTCAGTTTGATTTACTAGAGTTTTTATTTCGAAAGGTCTTGAAGTAGGTAAAGCTAAGCCTAGAAACGGAAATGTCCACGAGTTAAACCTATTCCATTGATTTCGCACAAGTTCAGCTTAGACTCACAACTCTTTGAACACCCCTCGCACAGTGTGTACAATTTATGTGTGTTTTTTTTTAGAGGTCTAGATTAAGCCGGATCACATATCGAATTTAAACTAATTAGCATTGCCCAAATGTAGTTGACGAACGAAGCTTTGGGTAATTATTATGGTACTATATGTAAACAAACACTGACACACACACATACACATTATACATATATATATATAGAGAGTTACCAATCTGTGTAAATTGAGAAATTGAACATATGTA